CATGATTTCTAACTATGCAATATGACTAATGCAACACATGCGATATGCAACTAATAGGCTCGACTACTAATATGGCATATGAATTAATTAAATAGCATGTGGTCTAAACATGTATTCAAAGAAGTATTGAAACTAACAATGCAGTTAGAATGATGAACCGAGCCTCGGTACATGCAATACAAGTGGAAGCAAACATGGAGTATGCTAATTGAAACATGATTACAAAACAAACAAAATTAACTAAACTACTTAACTAGTTATTACAATAAACTAATCGACTAATTAGTTAACTAAAAACAAAATTGAATAACTAGTTTAACTAACATAATCTTATCCCCTTTCCTAATGACCGCTATTACATTCTCCACAAGACCCTTGGCAATTAAGATTCCGACCCTATTCCTGCTCCTTACCACTATAATACAGTTTAAAACAGGTATCCTCAATTTCCCTAGCTTTCTCACCCGTCCACTTAGTTTCTTGTACGCAAGCTATACTAACTCTCCTCCTAATCATAACAAAGGCATGTTTTCCCTTGTTGATAAGAAAATATCTGCCAATTGTGGTGGGCCATTCTGGCTTTTCCAAGCATGGTTGTATGCCTATTTTCTTGAAATACGACCTCCCAAACTAAACACTATGATCCCCAAACATTACTCTTATGCAGAATGTTTCTTCACCTTTGTTGACACCCAAACTTAGCTTCTCTGAATGCCTTACTACACTCTTGAACCTTTCATCTGACAAAGACCCCCCTACTGTTCATGCTATTTCAATCGTGTCGATTCTCATCTTCTAGACTACAACATCCCTTCATGGATCCCTCGAACCTAACAGATAAAGAAAAGATTTGTCAAGTTGAAACATGAAAACATATTCTCACTTGTAGACATATCCTAGTGGGGTGTTCTATCTGCTCGACCAAAATATCTAGCTATAGTATTGAAAACTATTCTCCCAATCAATGGGTCAGACAATTTGAACTTACTCAAGGCACACCTTGCCCTTACTTTCACTCCACCATTGAAGAAGAAATATGGACAAGGATCAATATCAAAGAATCTTCCGATGCAAAACTAATTGGAGTGGAGAATGAAAAACTTCTACAAGGCTTTAGCACCTATTACTTCAAGCATGTTCCTAACCTCACCCAGGGTTTTCAACACTGGTGGACCCTTATAGCAGCAGTAATTTTCTCCAAACCTCTTTAGACCTGTCTGAGAGATGTGTCTGTTGACAATGAAGGCTCTGAACCACCCACTTCAAGCCTGAAGACTTCAAGTAAGTTTATCGTAGCTATCAACCCACTTCTACATTACAGCGGTGGTAAGACACATGAAGCAACCAAAGGTACACTCACTAACTCACCAAGTTCATATGCTTTAGCAGATAAATTAGCAGCAATGTGAGCAGAGATCTTTCTGATATTAGAGAATGGTGGATAGATCAAACCCTTGTCAATGTTCACTTTTGTTACTTGCTCAGCCAAAGCCACCGTTGTTATAAAGGAAAGTTGATGATTTAGATACAAGGGTGAACTATTCTATCTATTTGTTGTGCTTGTCGTCTAGAATTACAATTTAATAGGTTTTGCCAAACGTTTTCCATAGTGCTTTACACATGATTATGGGCAACTAGTGAAAAAAACTTCTGTTAAAAGGATATCTAGAGAGGGCAAGATGTACAAAGACTATTTCAATGACTTGAACCTGCGCCGCCAAGGACAGTAATATGGCAAATCACCCTTATAGAACCAGATCACACATCAAGGGAATAAAACAAACACAAGGTGTTTTATGAGTTTACGTTCTATTGGAATTTAAGTAAACATCTCAGAACTTTTTCTAAAGACAGTCTATTCATTATGTACGACTTGCATAGCCTAGTTGGCCACCATGCCTTCCTTAGGGCTTACTCCCAAAGAGGTCATGAATTCAATTTTCATTAGAGGAGTTGAATTAAAGGAGTGCAAGCAGTTAGATGCTTTGCCAAGAGTGAGGAGATTTTCTTCCATATGTGCTAATCTAATAACTAACAACTAACACTTGCCGATAAAAAAAAAAAAAATGTATGACTTGCATAGATATGTGACCAGAGTAAAGAAAAAAAAAATAATAAAGCGAAGTAAAATGAAATAAATAAAGAAATGAATTCTTTTCTCTTCAATTATCAAGTAAATTGTATTCAACTTATAATGTGTGTAGTTATGTAATATGTAGTGCACTTATAAGCTTCCAGAAGTGTTTCATCGTGTACACAAATTGCACCAGAGATGACCAAACCCAAACCAAATCCAGGGAAAATATATGCATTATTTGCTTGAATTGATCACCAAAAAAAGAAAAGAAAAGAAAAGAAAAGGTGCCATCAAAATCAATTTTTAGTATCCATCTCAGATGCATTAAGGATATAACACCAAAAAACTAGAAGTATAAAGTAATAGAACCTGGCCGGGTACATAGAGTTTGCCATTGTATTCTATAGGGTCAAATGGACTTCCACTGGCAAAAAATTGCATGTCTCTTTTTTTAGAATAGAGAAATTTATTAGTTTTGTATTTAAATCCAATCAGACATTACTTTGCATTAAAGCATCAAATTATAAGATAATAAAAAATGCATAATTTATTTTTAACTGACTCCAGGTATAAGCTTCTTCAGTTATGCACTCAGATTGTGAGGTTGGGTTGGAGAGAGCCATAATGAGAGGTTTCTGCATGCCATTCATTTAGGGTCATATTGTAAAATTTTGTAGAGAAAGAGAGAGAGAGACCATTCATTTAGAGTCTTATTGTAAAATTTTGTAGAGAGAAAGAGTATCACCTCTTTTGTGAATGTTCTTCCTACTCCAGATGAACCAATTAGAACCGTCAGCTTGATAGCTTGATGACATCTGAAAATGAAATAGAGACCAACAATCTCTGAAAACTACCTTCTTATAATAAAATGTAGACATAATGGGAATGCATCAAACCTTGACAGCATCTAAAAGATCCTTGACGGGTTCATGTTAGTGAGCCCAAGGTTTCTTGAAGTGTTGAAGGGAATTCTTACGAGAACTAATGATTAGTCCCTACAAGAGAAATCACATGCTTTTTGATTAATGCAAGACACAAGTGCCGAAAAGGGTAAAAATGGAAACAAAATAAAAATATGATCAGTCATGATTGACTAAATATCCATCATTTAGGAAGAAACTATT